AAGAAGAGAAAATCGTCTAAGTCCACCCAATGAGGAAACAGCTTGCTTACTAAGTGTTTAGAAAAAAAATCGTCCCGGGCGTTTGTCAATCGAAATAAACCTTGAATGACCATTGATCAATCGGAACTTGTCTTGTCCATCTGCTTCTACCCACCAAGTTGTCTCATTGCTTCGCTGACTCGTCTTATGGCGCTGCCATTTGACATACCAATCAGAGCCATGTAGCCCTAGAGAGTCAAAGCCAAATAAGTTTCGTATGGAAAAGAAATGGGATTTATTTCAAAATAAATGATTTTCTGGTCTTTGGGCTGCTATGGCATCCACAGGAAGCGTATGAACACAAGAGCACCCTCGTTTGATCCGCAAAAATTTAGCGCTTCTGCTGTGCTTGATTTGAAACGCACAGCAGACAGAATGGCCGAGCACGACCCGAAATACTGACTGCCAATTAATCGCACCTGCCTCAATCCCAAGAGCAATATGTTGCTACAAAAAGGGAATACATATGTTACTTTCAAGGAGGTGACCGAACTATCCCGCTGAACAACATATTAAGGTACATTCGATTGTGATCATTTGTCTGACAATGACGATCCGTTACCAAGCACAGAGGGATGAGGATCATACAAGAGATTCAAAAGCAGAAGCAGGGATCCAAAAGCAGAACCAGAGTTTTGGAAGCAGAGTCAGGGAGATCCAAAAGCAGAACCAGGGGCTAAAAGCAGAGCCAGGGGCTAAAAGCAGAGCCAGGGGCTAAAAGCAGAGCCAGGGGCTAAAAGCAGAGCCAGGGGCTAAAAGCAGAGCCAGGGGCTAAAAGCAGAGCCAGGGGCTAAAAGCAGAGCCACGATTTTGAAAGCAGAGTCAGGGGCTAAAAGCAGAACCAGGGATCCAAAAGCAGAGCCAGGGGCTAAAAGCAGAGCCAGGGGCTAAAAGCAGAGCCAGAGTTTTGGAAGCAGAGTCAGGAGGGGCTAAAAGCAGAAGCAGGGATCCAAAAGCAGAACCAGGAGGGGCTAAAAGCAGAGCCACGGTTTTGAAAGCAGAGTCAGGGAGATCCAAAAGCAGAAGCAGGGATCCAAAAGCAGAGTCAGGATTTTAAAAGCAGAGCCAGGGTTCCAAAGCAGAGCCAGGGGCTAAAAGCAGAACCAGGGTTTTGAAAGCAGAGCCAGGGGCTAAAAGCAGAACCAGGAATCCCAAGCAGAGCCAGGAATCCAAAAGCAGAGCAAGGCATCCAGAAGCAGAGCCAGGGTTTTCAAAGCAGAACCAGGGAACCAGGGGTACCAAAGCAGAGCCAGCGTGTTAAAAGCAGAGCCAGCGTTTTAAAAGCAGAACCAGGGATTCAAAAGCAGAGCAAGGCATCCAGAAGCAGAACAAGGGTTTGAAAAGCAGAGCAAGATGACGTGTCAAAGGCGAGCAAGATCATGGGGTGTACACGAACCACAGCGGTTGTTACAGATGGAGCAGAGTGGTTGAAAGCAGAACCAGAGATTGAAAGCAGAACCAGCGATTGAAAGCAGAGCCAGGGAAAGAGGTACTTTACTAAAAGCAGAGCCAGGGAGAGAGGTAGCTTTGAAAGCAGAGCCAGGGAGAGAGGTAGCTTTGAAAGCAGAGCCAGGGATTGAAAGCAGAACCAGGGATTGAAAGCAGGATCAGGGAAAGAGGTACATTAAAAGCAGAGCGATTGAAAGCAGAACCAGGGAAAGAGGCACATAGGTTTGACCAGATTGGCGTATGGACAGGCATGCTGATGTGGGATTGCGGGTGAGAGTGTGAACGTTGATGA